AATCATAAAATAAATATATTAAATATTTTAGGATACATTTTTCACTGTTTTTTCAAATGTTTTTCAATACGTCTTAAAATTCAGCATCTATTGAACTGACCAGTTTTGATATGGTAATATGTATTCAAAATATTCTTCCATGACATTCTCGGTTTTCAAACAAAGAGGAAAAAAATAGTAGATAATCTGAAATTGACACATTATTTATTATGTTACAGTACTGGTGACCTAAATTGTTCATTGGTGTTTTTTGGGATTTAAATATTTATTTAGAAACGTTAGAAAGCAACAAATGAGTAGCTGAACCCATAATATTTCTGCACTATTATATTTCCCTCTGTAAATGTCAGATCTAGCAGTGGACCTTTGTGGTTCTGAGTGGGAAAAAGTTGAGTCTTGGGTTGCAGTGGGAGTGGGCTGTGCTCTAGATTGCTTTATGTGACAGTGCACAATAGACCAAGCACTGCAGGAACTGGGTGGGTTTCAGTCAGCCTCAGCTTTCCTGCATCAGGACCTGCCAGGCACCTGTGAGTTAGTTCAACCAAAGAACAATTGGAGCATCCAAATGTATAAAAAAACTCAGCCATGGCCAAGTTGAAACAGACAACATATGTTGGGTTTATAGATTCCAGTAAACAACATTCAGAATACCTGCAGCAGTCCATTATTAGTATTAATTTAGAGGGTCAATGCAGGGTAAATCACTGATAAGAAACACAACACAGCAATGGGTGATAGCAAAACTGAGGGTCCTTGACAGAACTAGCACAGGACGAGTGGAAAACAAGGAGCTGAACAGGGATGACATGGTTCTGTGACGGAGTGTATGAGGAATTATATAAAGGATTATGAAGAACACATCGTGAATGAGCAATGGGATTCATTAGAGAAGAGTGGAGTCATGGCAACTGAACCTGTCAAGGTACCAATGTGCCCATTTTGACTTAACCTGTGTAAGGGTCACTCAACTTGGAGACCTTCTAATCTGCTTTATTGCAGTAAGTTGATTCAACCAGCTTCTAAATTGTTATATTGTTCTTGCAAATCATTAGTAAAAGAATTAATGACCTTGTTGTAGTAAACTAGTACAGTATAGTAAGTGTGAAGGTCTACAGGTTGTATAGCCCTGCTGTATAATAAGACACATTACTTGTATTATATTGCAGTTCAGTAATAACACATCATCACTTTACCATGCAGGCTGTAGGGAAGCAGTTATGTAGTGCAAGTGCAGGCTGTAATTTACAAGGCTTTCTTTTTTAAAGAAAAAATGAAGGAATTGTAAAGTTAACTGACATTTTATAAACTGAACTTATTTTAAACAAAAATTGTTAACGTTAGCAGACAAATACAAAGATGCTTGTATGGAACAGCAGGTCCCTTATCCCAGGGGCATTTGAAATCTTAAAGGAATGCGTCAGCCTGTGGGTAGCGCTGAATAAATAGAAATCTAATCACCAGATGGCCAAATTGAATCTAAGAAATGGAGATATCACAGTGCTTGTGCTTGAATGTTTTGAGTGTCAAGGTTGCCCGCATTGGGTCTATAACCTTATGAGTTAAAACAGTCAATTACCTAGGAAGACTGAATTTAAAATTTCCCTTTGTACTAGCTTTATTGTACTATTACTGGATTTGTTTAACCCTTTGAAATAATGAACAAAGAAATAAACAGAAAAGTGTATGTGTGTATTTTCCACCACTTTAATTCAATTAGTATGAATTATTCTAAAGCCTGAAATGTTTTTTTTTCCAATGAATGTCATTTTTTTCTGTGAACTTCCTATGTATCTCTTGAAAATTCCAAGACATGCCCATGGCACTCTTCCTTAGATACAGGGCTACTTCATTTAGTAGATGCTGTGTTCATCACCATCTCCACTGCAGCGTGGAGGTCTATATAAGCAAATGCAAGCAACATAATATGTTTACAAGTAATTACTGTGCACAGACTGTGGGAAAATTAATCTGACAATATATTTGCGTTCTGTAACAAAAGGTAATTGTGTGCAATGAAGTGTTAGTATAAACACTTTGCTCACAGCTTGTGGATATAATAGCAACAGGGTACGTATCAGACCCACCTCAAAGAGCCAGATAATGAGGACCGTGAAGCCAATGGACTGCATGATCTGTGTGTAATAATCCAGCAAGGCCTGCCGGCATCCTTTCTTCCACAGGTTCAGCTCCTCCTTCTGGAAGTCGTAGTTAAAGTGGGCGGAGCTGTTGGTGATCTGGTACTGGATGCAAGGCCGGGGGGAGTTGATGCTGCAGCAACTAAAGGGCACTGCGTCCATCAGATACTTGCCATCAACGTTGCTCTTCAGCCGGCTGGGGGAGTGAGGGCAGAGAAATTGTTGGGTGTGAACTTTGTCAATGTTCTCGGACAGAAAGGCAGGGGGCTGGAAAACAGTACAGCGTAAAGTGAATGTTTTCTCGGAACACAAACAAGGAGGAGCAGTAGATGAAGAATGCCCAAAACATTTGAGAAAGACATGATATGAATGTGTAGTGTACAGTATGTAGCCTAACCCCAGAATCAAACAACTGAAAAACCCTCCAAATCCCTGTGTAGCCACGCCACACAGACTAAATGAATTAAGGAAGAATTAAGTTTATATACAATCCATGAAAGTAGAATGCTAATTCAGATGTAGAAGGGTAAACAGAAATCACAATTCAGAAATCATTCACTGAAGGGCTGCAGAAGAAAGCTTCTTTCAGTTAGACTAATATTTTGTTTTACTCGTAGCACTTTATATGATTTACCACATTAGAACGTGTTTCAAGCACTTTCAGCAACTGCTTAAACATCCTACAAACTGTATACCTGGGATACATCCTGGACAGAAAATCTCTTGCTGAGCACACACTAATTTTTCAAAAACAAATTAACCTACCAGCATGTCTTTATACAGTAGGAATAAACCCATGTTAACAAGGGGAGAACATGTAAACTCCATCTAGATAGCACCCCAGGAACTGAAACCAGGGCCCGAGCACAGCAAAGCAGCAATGACCACTGCATCACCATGCTGTCTTTTTAATGAATCCTTTCCTCAAGTCTGTCGAATCACATACATGATCTGATTAGAAACTAGCACCAGAACTAGCTGCTTGTAGTTCATCAGACTCAAAGTCTAGCCTTGGTGCCCCCTGGTAACCCTGCTTTTGCAAAACTCCCTATGCTGGAATGCAACCTCACCTACCCCTCCTTTATTGTTCACAGAAACTTTGCCTGATCAGTCTTTGCACTACTCTCCATTCTGTCTCAATCTCAGTTCAGTGGCCATTGCTGCCAAAATGCTGCTCTCACTCCCAAAAGTAACTTATGTGCTTTCGTAGATTTCTTCTCCATGGAGGCAGACAAGAAGAATGCCAGAATACCAGGACTACTTACTCTATGACCTCCTTGCTTGACATATCAAGGTAACGGTTGCTGATCCACTGAATTTCAAACCAGTCCCGGAAACCATTATTTCCGCAGCACTGGAACTCTATCTGCAGCATGTCAATGGTCCTCTTTAAGAAGCACCTGCCCGGGGTGTCCGTGTCCTTGTAGTACCTCAAAGCCTCTTTTAGCCCTTGGTAGAGAGACTCTTCCAGCTCGGTCCTCATGGTGTAACACATCAGTGCCCCCACTAGGATGCAGAAGGTGAAGAAGAAGGTGCAGATGATGTATGGAAGCATCACCAGCTTCCACCGGTGAAATTTGTTGGTATCCACACAGTCGTAACAGATCTTTCCACCTAGGAAGTTGATCCCGCAGGCGATCACTCCCACCGCAATCAACATGTTGGGGACAGAGTGGATCTCCCGGTTGGACATGAGTTCCCTGCGTTTGTGAATCTCAATCTTCAGGAAGAGCCCTAGACTCAGGAGGATGATGCCGGTGACCACTGAAATCCAGTTTAAGATCCACAGCACCTGGGCAAGCTTGTCCCTTTTGTGCTTAGTGAATTTCACTTTCAGGACAGCCATCTTCTTTAACTGGGGTTTAGAAGACAGGAGAGGGCGGGTAGGCAAATCGGCTACGAGACACAGAGGTGGGGCTGGGGGGGATCTATTTTCTTGGAAACCTCATAAGTAGCTTATCAGGTATTTATAAACATGCCCCTGCATATTACCAATTTTTCCTCCTCAGTTTAGACCACCAAGCACTGAGCATGTTATAAGCATCTCCATACTTGAAAAAGAGAAATGAAGAAGCATATGCTTTTTGAAAATGCTCACTTCTCAAGCTGTCCAGCTTTGATTCATCTGCAAGTCCATATAAGTAGCTTAGCAGAGGTATTTATAAACATCCAGGACAGTGGCTATCACTGCTGCAGAGGATGACCCTGTCAAATAAAAAAAATAAACTAAATATAACGCAAACACTAAGTACTGTAACTATAGGGGCATATATGGTCCTAATTTCCAGAATTCCATGTCCTGTTTCTAATACATTTCATATCCCAGTTGATTAATTCACCTTAAGAGTGTGTCTATGTCTGCAACTGTACTCGGTCACAACAGATTACAGTATGACAAATGTTCAAGAGCAATTCATTATGTTGCACCAGAGTATTGAAATTGCACCACAAAAACATTTTGATCAAATACAACCATTCTATGATTTCCCTTAAAACTGCACTTCAGACAAAAGACAATGGCTTTGTTTTTATATAATCTGTTTCAGTTTCCATATTAAAATTAGTTCCCACATTATGTACAGTAGGTCAAGTCAGCAACAAAATAAAATAAATGCACAGACTAAAAATAGAAACTAGGATTTACCTTTAGTTTGGAAATGCTTCTATTGCTGGAGGAAAGTCAAAATCAAAAAGAGGTTTGTCTCTCTGGAGGTGTGCTTTCCTAATTATCATTCTGAAAAATACTTAGGAAGGCTGACCTAGTGGCAGGAGACAAAGACTGTGGTTGCTACATCAAAATGACTTCCATACCCAAGCTATGCCCATCTATCTAATCCCCTTACCATTAATCAGCCCTATTGGATTTAAAGAAACGCCTTCTGCTGTCTAGCTCAGTCTTACAGTAGCAAACAGCTCCTGTGGAAAGAGAAATAACAAGGGTATTCTGTCATTTGTCATAGTTGCCTCTTAAAAAGAAGTAAAAAAAAACTAAAGGGTTTTGGCCAAAAAGACTTAAATATGTTTTCAGAGATGAAAAGGATCAGTTACAGTATTTACAACACATCCATCACTTTTCAAGCTGCTTTATTCAATACAGGATCGCAAAGGAGCTGGACACTATCCTGGTAGGCAACAGGCACAATGCAGGAGACACCCTGGACAGGATGCCATTCCATCATAGGGCTCTATGTAGTTGCATACACAGGTCCACTTTTCCCAGAAGCCTTTCAGCCTAGCAGTTTACTATGTAAACACAGGGTGAACAAAAAAACTTCACACAGATAGCATCCAAGGTCCAGAATTGAACCCAAGGGAAGCAATGCTAACTACTGTGCCACATGCCACCCCAAAACCCATATAATGTACGTGAATCAATAATCATTGGCTCTTGTTAAAATGTAGTTATTGTAGATTACATTTATATAAATAGACTGAAAACAATCTGTCTAAACTATGGATTTATAATGCCTGTAGGTATTCGGGGATTTTTCTGACTGAGAAGTCTTCAGTGGTTCAAAAATAAATATACATCAATCATCCTTTGCCAGTCAGCAGGGCTTGCTGAACCACCAGACTCCAAATAGTTGACTGGTTTGTCATCATATAATCTTTTTACCCTATAAGGAACAGAGTATGCTGTTTTCCAAAGTCTACAAAAGTCAATATGTTCTATAGCTGACTTTCACTTCGCAATAAGCAGTATGTATGCAAAGGTAGAACTTGTATAAATTACTGAGCAATACTATTTAAATTGAATTGACATATTTCCATAAGTATAAGACATAAGTCCTCTATTGACTGTATTTTTGTGAAGGTAATGATGTCTAATTTGAGACTATACTGGTGTATTTTGAAGGTCTGTCCATTCATCTACCCATCCATTTTTAGGAAACTAACTTACACAAGCTCGCTTTAAATCTTTGAGACAGACAACAAGGTGGGATTGAAAGCCGTTCGTCCCCTGGATGAGTAGCCATAGAAAATATTTTGCTAAAGTTTTTTGTACAACTGGTAATTGCAAATTGGGTGAGTTGCATAATAAAAATAATTGCTGATTTCAATTTTAAAGAAAGCAAAGAAGGGTTCTTCTGAGAGGTATACATAAAATGTAATATTCCTTCACAAGTAAAGACAGAATTTAAAGCATAATGGTTGAACATTTTAAAATACAACAAAATCATTTTTTGGATAGTGCTTTTGTGACAGGCCATCTGTTGTGAGGATTGAAGTTGCTGTTAACCTACTGTATGACTAGAGGTTGTTATGGCCTCTTTTATTTGTGTATAGGTTCATAGAATTGTTTATCTAATTAGTAGTTGGAGGGCTGAGAGTTACATTCTCACATGAGAGTAAATTAGTGTTTGAGATATAAAGGTACCCATGATGTTGCTTGATTTTTGTGTCATTTGTTGAGCAAGACGTGTGTGTCAGTGGAGAAGCTGTTTGCCAAATAAAGTCTTCTTACACTGTATTTTTACTGTCCATTGTGAGTCTCATGTACCTCACATTGAGAGGGAGGCCTACATCCTTCTGAAAGTGCATTGGTTAATATTGGCAGAACAAAGGGTGTTTGAAGAAGTTTTTTCATTCTATTTGATTTAGAAATCCATGGTGGTCTAAGCTGTAACTAGGTGTATGGAACCTGTCAATATACAAATGTCTTCATTTGAAATGCACATGAAAATGTGTGCTCACTGGTTGCAAAATACTGGAAATACAAGCCAAGAACTTGGGCTAATAATGAATGTACTGTAGTAATAACGCCTCTTAGTGTGTTTACATTACTTCAGGCTGCAGTTGTTTGATTACCTGTCTCTTGTGGTTTACAGTTCATGTGTTGAATACATACAGAATCATGCCTTCTCTAGTAAGTTTCAAAGGTCTCTGCTGAATGGTGATACAGTATGAAACCAGTGCTCTCTTGTCTCAGTGGGGAACTCCACTTAGACAACAGCAAATCATGGGTAGAGTACAAGGAAAGAAGAATGATTTAAGTGTCTCTTTCCACCTCTTGAAAAGCTATAAGCCTTCAATAACAACTACTAATTTTCTGTTAGCATGATAATCTACAGATAAAGTAACGTCAAAGTTATGCTGTTTCTATTTATATACAGTAGGTATGTACAGTAATTGCTTGTTGTACATTACTTCTAACCACAAAATATGTCCATTAGTCCATTGTTAAAATATCTGAAGCTTTATGACTTATTCTTTTGGTCTTACAATATCACCTTTTCCACATAGAATTACAGCATACTTTAGAACTGAGCAAGCAAGTGTACAGCAGCCAATAAGGAATTGAGAATGTGAGATTAGTGGATTACCAGTGACCAAAGAAGATTTTCTCCTTTGTAACACTTATATCCTTGACATGCCTGAACACTCTCTGTAGATCCTTCCGTCCAATGCCTGACCCTTGCGTCTGTACCAAACAGGTGTATTGATAAGACTTGGAGAAGTAATTAAACACTCAACATTATGAAGCCATGTTAGTGGAGAGCTGGATAACTATTTGCTGTGTACTGCAAATACGAACTCATTTGGGCTTCCCTGTTGTTGGTTAATGTAATGTAATTAAAAGGCATACATTCATGAATTATTGAGAGAAAGAATAAAGGACTCAAAACAAGGTAAGTTCCACACATCTCTGTACTATCACAGTGTTTTGTTGTTGTCAAGTGAATTACAATATAGTGGTTACTTTAGAACAGTATAAATACCATGTGCCTTTATTATGTTTGTTAAAGAGATTATCTCATAAAAGGTTGGATAGAATTAAAACTATTAAGTGATTTTTGGAGACGAATTCTACTGATTTTAGAAAGCTGTCATGATACCTTGTTTATTACCTCTGATTGTTTCCATTTCTTTGGTATTTTTTCTATGACATCTCAGTGGCATGGCTGCTAGCACTGCTGGCTCACAGCTCCTGCATCTTGGGTTCAATTCTGGTCTGGGTTTCTGTAGAGCTTTTCTTATGAGTGTTCTGGTTTGCTCCTACAGTCCAAAGACATGCCATCCAATGTTATTGGTTCTTTAAAAAGTCCCTTTTTACTGTATGTATGTGTGTGGCATGCAAGGGGGGTTGCTTTGTACACATTTTCTGCCAGTTTATGGTCTGGCTCATTGCAACACTGTAGACTAAATTATTAACAATAGATGGGTAAAATATTTTTAATATATAGGCATGATTTTTTTATTTCAGTTTCATTTTTTGGTAGTACCCATGAAAGCTTCATATTGACTATTACTTTTCTCATGTGGAAGCTTTTTGAAAGTGGTATTTGTAATTGTTTTGAAATTGCATTTGCACAAAGGAAATGCTGTTGTAGTTGATGTCTCATAGCACTGGGGCTCAGGTTCAATTTATGGGGTACTAGCGTGGAGTTTATATGTTCAACTTGTGCTCGTGTGGGTTTCTTTCGGGTGCTCTGGTTTCTTCCCATGATCCAAAGACATACTGGTAGGCTAACAGGGTTCTGTGAAAAAATGTGTGAGTGTCTGTGGATACCCAGTGATGGACTGGAGTCCAGGGTGTATCGTGCCTTGAACCATTGCTTGCCAGGTTAGACTCCAGCTCCCCAGTGACCCTATGCCGGATAAAACAGTCTAGATAATTAATGGATGGAAATCCTATATAATAAAATTCTTATGGCATATATTTGCAGTATTTCTACAATTTACTTTGGAGTATTAGGGTCAAGGAGTGGCGTTTATTATATTAAATTGCTGATTTCTTTATTTTGAATCTCATATGAAATTTCCTGTTGATGCAGGAATGCTGGTAATGCAACAGTATTGTACTCATTCAACATTATTAAAGCAAATATGATTTACAGAACATTTCAATGAGGAGTTCATAAGTAAAATGAAAACCATTGCCAATTTTTCATCCTATTAAACTGCAGCTTTGATGAGCTGTTGATAAACCTTTTGAAGACCATGTCAAAATAGAAATATTTGAGCCACCTTACGCAGAACAGAATTGTGGAAGTGTGCATTTTTTTAATTAGTATTAATTGCTTAAAAACCAGTTACTGGTTATCAAGCAAAAATATGAAAAGAATGTTCCTTTAGGACTGCAGCTTGCTCGTACTGTTTCCCTGCAGTGAGGAATTAATTACTAATTTGTCTTTATATTCCCTTGCGAAAGCTTAAAAGCTACATTATGAAAATTGGGGTATTTGTATACCTGAACGGGGATTTAGGACATGTACTGTATATATAATCAAGTGCTGTTGTGAGTAATTGATTTTTAATTGCTTTGTATCCCACATGATTTTGTAGAGAGAAGTACAAGACTGCTGACTGCTACACCTGCTGACCTTATAAGTCACAAAGCAATTACATAATAATTACAAGCATGTATTAGAAAAAATGAGGCATTTAATTAAAGTTCTGTAGCTAGAAAGATTTGACACACAGTAGCATACACCAAAATGAGTCCTTGGAATTTTCTAAGCAAAATAAGCTCTTGGGGCAGTTGCTGGATTCAATTTTCTGTATCCTTAAACTATACTAAAAAATCGTCAGACTACTGAATAGTCTTTTCTTGTTTGCTACCTTGTATTTTATGTCCTGTGTTTGTATTAAGGGTTATACAAAATAATATTATCTTCCAACATCAAACAACACATATTCCTACTCAGTTTTATTTGCATATGGATATTGTCGAGCAGATATTATTGTGTTATGTACAGTGTAATGAAATATTGATTAGTCACTAGTCCCCTAGTTCAACTGTGACCAAACAAGATTAACATTTTTTGTATTGTTATACTAGATGCTGCCCTCATCAAAGCTTAATTACAGCATCCCCTTTTCTGAACCTGCAAAGCACTGGTGCACTGGAGACCAGTCACAAGTAAAGGGGGCATTTTCAAAAGGTACCGTACAAAACTTTTTATGACTGATCTTAGCTTTTTGTTAAGTAAGTAATTTGTTATTAAGTACCAGGAATCAGGAAGAGTCTCTGAAGTGCAATAATCCCATCTGCAGCTTGCTGAGTGCTAGTTACTTGTCTCTTTTACTCTTTTACTCTCTTTTGTTGTGATATCATTGCATTTTTTATGCATGCAAATTGAAACTCAAAGTTTAATCCATGTGAATTTTCACAATGTATAGCATTTCATCCGGGAAAGGCAAAGGGGAGAGAAAAATAAAATTCAGGGTTTTGTATTAACATTTTCTTTGTCTTTTAATACCTTATTTAAACAAGTTGGTTAGGACTACCCAATTGATATTGCAATTTATGCACTACTTGACTTCTTATTTTCAATTCCTAGACATTGCAGTCAATTTGTTATTTTCTTTAAACTCCCTCTAAAACTGTAGATAAATACTGTATTCTCTTAGTATTCTGATTTTATGATCAGGTTGCAGGAGAGACAAATAATTATTCCTACGCTTTTGCAGTTACAATACTAGAGGTTCCAGTCAGTAGAAAACAGATTTACTTCTGTTTTTAATACTTTACAGACATACAATTGTTTTAGTGTTGAAAAGCACATTCAATAGCATTACAGTTGGGACAAAACTGTAGGTTGTATGCCATTTTCCTACTCTGTCCTATAATGTGTTTATCGTCACTAAATAAATGTTGATACAGAACATCTGGTTTGGCACTCACTTCACCAATACTGATATATGACAAATCTAAATGGTTGTAGTCCTGGAGATGGAAGAATTTGCATATCTGGAAATAATTACAAATTACAATTTATCCCTCTTTGTTTTTCAAAAGACACAAGAATATCAGCAAGGCATGTGGGAAAAGTACATGTACTAGTAATGTTAACACTTCAACCATTGAATAGCAATTTGACTTTAAAAATGCTGCCTTTTTTAAATACCACAGAGTTTCCAGGCATCTGTTGGGTTGTGTGTGGAAGTAACTTGACGGTGATCAGGGTGCTAACTGGAGAGTGCCTTTCGAGCCATGACTTCACAGACAAAACAGTGGTTCAGGTGACAGAGTTTACATGGAGAAAGAACTGGTATCTGTTAGTAGAACTGCTGGATTCTAATGGAGGTTCACTCTGTTGTTACTGCCTGAGTTCATCAAGAGTACTGAGAGCCATCAGCATTCCCAGAAAGGTATAATATTGCTATTGCAGTCTCATGCTTCCAATTCTAATCTTTTACAGTCTAGAAAATACTACTGAGATACAAATCCACCGATGGTCATGCTCAAAAATCTCCACACTAAAATCTACGACAAACTGTGTAATGAGTCATAATTATGTCTTAGACTTTGCTGTCAATTGCTATTTAGATTAAAAATAAAGTTTGTCAAATTTTAGATATGGAAACTGTGTTACTTTGAATTACAAAGAGCCTGAAGAACACATAGGTCAAAATTCTACAAGGTCTCCGAAGTCATTCTACTTTAGAAGGCAGTTATTATGCACTTTGCGAAATTGCAAAGAAAAAGGAAAATGTGGTCATGCATTTTTTTACATTGAAATTGGATCGTTTAATATTTGTTTATCCAAAAAGCAGCTAAAACACAAAATGGTCACAACATGCAAACAAAGCAAATAGGAAATTAAGTAACAGAAATATACATGAACCATGTACCCATTCTGTAGAAATCAATTTGAAAGTTCAAGTCTTTATAAGACCTAAGATATTATAGGACCTTTGTATCTCATACTCTGCATCTCAAGAATGAGTCTGGTTAATCCTCTATAGACTTTCTCTGAACATTTATATCGCTTTGTAAAAATGTATGCAATATACTCAAAATGACATAATGGCAGTTGTGATAAATGTAATAATGGTTTTGACATACAGTATGTATGTACTGTAGAGAGATTCTATTTTATGTATTTTATTTTATTTATTTTATAAATAGATGTAGGACAGTACAAAAATCCATACAAATATAATTTTGAATTTTGCACAGCAGGAACATCTGTGACTCTTCACAATGATTCACTCAGGGAATTTGAAAGATAATTTCCAATTAATTTATGAACTCTGTATACTCTAATATACCTAAGCAATTTCTTGCAGTAACATCTGACCTTTTTGTTAAATTAAAGATGCAGTACTAAATTACATCTGGCATAAAATATTTAAATTTAAATTACTGTTTTTCACTTTGAATAATTATTCTTTCTGTGTCTATTTTCATGGCACTTTCTTTCTTTTAGGTGAGCTGTATGATAGTGATTGATGAGTCTTTGCTGTTGGGGTGCAAAGATGAGGAATATCTTCATTCAGTTTTGAAATGTTTTTCTGGCATAGCTGTTATTGGAACAAAGCAAGGAGAAATTCTGCTACTAGATTTAGCCCTCAAAGATCCAACCGTATTCAGTACAGAGAAGAAGATGTCAGGTAATATTTACAGAAGAGAAAAACCTATACTTGTCATAATTTCCCAATATACATACTGCAGATTCTGATTTTTGGAAAACATTTAAATTCTGGTGGTGATACAGCAGAGAAGAGACATCATCACCACATAATGAGACAGCTTAAAGTGGCTGCCTTCATTTTCACTCTTATAAAACCAACCACAGTTTTATAAAAGTGTATAGCATGTTGTAAAATGATACATGAAGGACATTTTGACAAAAGATTGAGTTTCTTGATGGAAGTGTGGAAGTGATAACAATTTCATATTTGTTATTTTTTGCTTCTGGAACGATCTGTTAAAATGGCTGGCTAATTCTGGACACAGAGTTGTAAATAAATCAAAAACTGGTTTGCCTCAATAACCTTTGATGACAAGAAAACAAAGTTAAATGCAGCTTTTTATTTGCAGTAAGGCTCAAAATGAATTGGAAGAAAATATATGAGGGTAACTTTCTTTACCTCGACAAAAGCACTGTACTGCATGACTTTTGACTTTTAGACATCTTTATAATGTGGACAATTTAGCGCAACTAATTTGTGCCTTATCAGTAACGGAGTAGTACCTGCGTCAATGTTTATTTTTTCTTTACTGGTTATGTAGAGTGTGAAGAGGTGCTCAGATGTGAAGGAAAAATTGAAGATAACTTGGATGTTAGCAGTCTGAAGCAGAAACACCCCTGCCTCTATCTACACAGCCATCAAGGAGCTCCTGCTACCTCTCTGCTCTTTATAAAACCCACCAACCAGGTAGTGGCAGGAAACTCAACAGGAAAACTGCAGTTCTGGAACCTTCAGTATCTCAATAAAGAGTATGTGTTTTTATTTAACTCAATAACACAAACAAACCGTACAATAAATCACCATTGATCACAACAAAGACATACGATCATGCATTTCCAAATCGAACAATAATTAAGAAAATTACATAGAGCACCCCGATTCACGCAAAAAAGATAAAGAATAAGAATCACAAAAAGAGATGTACAGAGCACAACTGTGTCTTGAGTGTCTTTAAAACACTTTATGGCCTGAATGTTTGTTTTTGCGTAAAAACAAAGCAACATGCTCAAATTGTAGGTCGCTAATCACATCGGGACCTTTGGAGACAAGCTCCCACTCTGAGTATTCACCAGGATTCTGAAGTCTAATGTCATGGTTCACTGAAAATCTTAATACTCATATTCATAGTTCATAGACTTTTTGTACTGCTGAGACTTTCGAGTTCCGATGGCCTATAAAGGTATAATTAATATACCTTTAATTAAATAAATTTGAACAAGGAGATGGAGCATCTCTCTTTGTACTGTAGTACTTCTTGCATCATCCCTTCACAGTACCTGATTTTTCTCTAATGTCTCATAGATTACTTCTTTTTGTGTTCATTTTGTGGATTTCCAGGGGACAAGATCCTTATGTTGTGCTTCTATTACATTATAATTTCTGTGGCAGGTGTGAAATTCAGTTGGAGTCTGGTCTGATACCACTAGTTTCTCTTCAGTTCCAAGAATCCTTCCCCTTCCATGTGCCACGGTGCTATCTTTGGGCTGTCTCCTCCGAATCAAGCAGGTACTGTGAAAGTCATTCTTTGTCATTTTGTGTCTATTTTTTGGTAGTCGTGTTACTGTGCTGTTTCATTTATTTTTTGAAGTGTGAGTAAGTTTGATGGAGACATTTAGTCAGACACAGGCTATTTCTGTAAAAACACTAATCTCTTGCCTCCACTGCAGTTATTCATACTGTATATAAATTACCCTTCTAACGTGTGGCCTGTGATGGTTTTCCCCAACAGTTTATTTGGAAGTGCTAACAAAGCATGAAATAATAATATGTTTTTCACTTATATTTCTTGCAATTAAGCTGTGATATCTCGAATGGATAACACATTTATCTTAATTTTTCTTCCAGCTGTTGGGGTAAGAGCTCAATAAGGGTAAATCTTGTAAAGCTGTTGTTCCGAGATTTTAATCAATCCTCGCAGGTCAGATACCAAGTAAGTTTACAATCCTTTTTGGAGCGCACTTATTTTTCTTTCCTATTATTTGTTTTCCTGTTTTATTAAGATTTTTCAGAGTGATCTGCATCCTCTTTTTTAAAGTAATATCACACACTATTAGTGGCAGATTGCAAATTGTGAAACTGTGAGTCATACAAATTGAAAATTTGCCTACAGCCTCAAACCCTTCAGTTGGATTAGGAGATTATGAGAAGCAAGACAGAGAAAAAACGTTTTGACATGTGTTTCCAATCCATGTCTTTCATTTGAGCAAACTGAAAAGCTGCCAGAAAGACCACACCTTTTTCAAATAAAAAAGAAAAATGGAAGAACTGTACTTTTAAACAAATCAGACTCAATGCGTATGCCAAGAAACTCACTGGAAAATCAAACCACAGTATAACTCTAAGAGCTGGTAACACAACTGTATGAATAGCAATGCAATAGACATAATGTACATAAATAACAATTAGTAACGATTAATAACGATTAGTTTTTTCCATCTTCTGAATCAAACTCCCCAGGGTTTTCTGCACGGTAATGTGTGTCACACACAGAAGCTGTGTGATGGAGCTGATCTCAATCCATGTGTTTCCTGGTGTCGCCTTCTCAGCTGCAGGATCATCAGCGGCTATGACAGAAGTGCCTGGGAATTCACTGCATCACCTCAATGTGGTGAAGCAACGGCTGTTTTTTTTCTGTATATCTGTCTAGCCATGGAATGGAATTTTTCTATTTTCAGCATTTTAGTTTTAAATGAAATTTGTAGTTTAATTTACATCTCTGCATCATTTTTCTGAGCTTCATTAAGCATGATATGCAACTGTTTCTTTTTCATATTTTTAGAATCTCTCAAATGGTTGCTTTGTTTGTTTTTCAGTAGTCTATTTTCCTCTTTACATGTCTGATCTTTTCTGTATGACGTTTTTGGCTATTTACTCCAAGAGGGTTATTGGAATCCCTGGGTTTCTGTTCTTTTTTATCACCTTTGTCTAGGTGTCCAAAGGAATCTGGACTATGGAAACCTTGCTATTTTTGCATGGGAAATAAAAAAGCCAGAGCTATTGACCTTTGTAGCCGTGTTTAGTCTTCAGCAGTGGCTGCAGAAGGAAATGCCGGAGCCATTAAAGTAAGGGTAGTGTAATGCTTTTTAAATTTCTAATATGAAACCATATGGCTGTATTGGTTTCAATACATCATTATTAAGGGAATGAGGACTCCAGTAACTCTAGGGTAAGGGCAGAGCAGATTGAACATGAGAGATTGCATCCATCTCTTTTAATTTTCCAGGTTACAGTAGTTATTCTCATTGGTGCCTGGACAGTTGAGATGGACAACCTTCTTTGATGATGGTTCCTGATGGTTAGGAACAAATAAGGGAATGTGGTCATTTTTTCTGAATACAAAGTGTGATGCTTGTTATATACATATCTTGTATATCACATCTTTTAAAACTACTTAAACTACTCTCTTTATACTGTACCCTTTAAAGATATTGTGACAGCTTTTTGTCATACTCCTCAGCTGCATCAGCCATATGCTTTGGGTTGCTGTCACGCTGCATAGTGAAGTGCTGCCCAATCAGTCTTGAAGCATTGTCTCATATATACAGTACGCAAACAAAATGTTCCTAAAGATTCTAGAACACATTCTGCTGCTGTAAAAGATCTGTCACAATATCTATTAAGATGAACTATCCAGCTCCAGAGATGGCTATGTTTCCCCAAGTCATGATATCATACATCTACAGTACCATGCTTCAGAATTTGGACAGATGTGATCAAGATAAACCTTTACCAAAGTGATGGAAAGGGTAAAGTGTGCACAAAGAAAGGAACTCCAGATGTTCCAAAAATAATTCATATGTGTAATGTAGTGGAGCAAGTATGACTAAATGCATGAAGTTATTCAACAGTAAACATATATTATACTAATCATTCATGTTAATTTCATGGTTGCAAAGAAAAACTGCTTAACTGTAAAACAAACATTTTTGACTTAGCACACCCAGGACCTCAGGAGGGCACTATACATTTTACTCATTGCTTTATCTTTAATTTCTGTTATTAATAGGTCTAACAATGAGCTGGAAGGTTGCCCCTACTTGAATTTGTGGCTTTTGGCTCCAAGGAGCAGTCACCCTCTGCCTATACTGGATACAACTGTGTTTAAAGATCTCCACTGCTCTAAATGGAATAAATGGAACGATGACATGGGGAATGGGAACTCCATTGATTTACTGGCATTAAGTGAGTTTTTGTACCATTTGCTTTCATTTTTCCAAAATATTTCTAAACACGAATTTCTGGTTTTATTAAAAGTGTCATGAATGTAGAATATAAAGTATATTTTATAAAACTATTTACCCTTAATCTGTAAGATAAATTCGTAAATTCATTCAAATTCAGCTGTTGTGAGACAATTGCTTTTAAATGTTTCCTGTTCTGGAATACATTTTATGAAATTAATAGAAAATATTTATCTTCATTGTATTGCACAGATGTTATGCAAATGTTGGTCATTGCATGTAAATCTTTATTTATTTAGCTTTGAAATTGGACTACTGACTAAAACTAAAACTTTCACAAAAGCAATTGGTCCTGTAATGTACTGTACATACTGTAGTCAACAGGATCATCTTTATTCAGTGTAAATGAGCGTTCAAGTGTATGCATGGTCATCATTCTGCTTTTAATTATTTTTAATAGGTGCTGCCACAATGTTTGTAGATGGCTTTACGTTTTACAGGTTTCCGGCTTGTCGAATAAAGGTAAGCCAAAAAAAATGCAGAAGACAGAGGTGGAGACATTTTCTTTTAAGTGTCTTTATTGCTAAGTGACTTTTGTTTCTCACAAACAAGCACAAAAAGAAGACAATTGCAATTTTGACAGAATTTGAAAAGAAAGAAAAAGAAACCAGATGATTGAAATAAACTTTGATGCAGTAAATGCAAATCACACCACAAGCCTGTATTGGATTTCATGGTTATTTAAATGGGTGAATTAATAAAATTGTACAAATATTCAATATCAAAATATCCACCCCATTGCAAGTAAATAATATTGTTCTTAAATTGAGTGACCCCTCATGTCACCCCTCCTGTCCAGCTTTACTGCTCTTACAAAATGAATTGGAAAACTAATTTGTTCATTAAAGTGCCTCCGGGGGGACTGTTTAATTTCTGAAGACATTAGACATTAGTGACTAGTTCATAGGCTGAGTTCATAGCTTGTTGTACAGTATTTACAGTTATAGTAAACTGATCCTCAAGGGCCAAAATACTTGCCAGTTTTGTTCTACTTTGAGTTAAGCACCTAATTTAATTATTTATTCAGTTAATTGTGAAACATAACCTGGTCTTCAGTGAAAAATGTACTAGAAATGTAAAACAAAACCTCATCTGATATTTTCTATTTTAGTTAAGCTGCCATACAATGTCTTTATTCCACCCAGTCAAACACCACTTTGTACTTTATTTCTTAAAGAGATATGCTTTACTAAGATATTAAGATACAGTATGTTACCCAAGTTAATTTAAAATGGAGTAGAAAATTTTCCTTCAGATTCCTCAGATTTATTCCTGAGGAACTAAATTATTTACTTTTACAGCAGAGTACAGCAAGAGTGTTTAGGCTATTTTCGAAGATATCATATGGCATGTTTCATTGATGAGGGACGACAGATGAATTAAAAAAACATTACATTTTTAAATTTAACAAATAGCTCATTGTATAGACTCGGTTCAGCACACTGAGAAAAAAGTCATTTTTGCTAATCTGCATTTTGATTTATATCTTATTTCAGCCTCTCTGTGTGAAGGGTTTTAGTGCTGATTTCCCTGTAGAAATCACAAGCAGCCCTATAGGGTTCCCAACAGGCCAACCCGCAAATTTCTGTCCACAGGTAAGCAAAAGCAAAGGGAGCAATAGTCATTTTTGTTATTAAGTTTCTTCACATCTGACTTTTCTGAGATAATTCAGACTGATTAAGATGAGGTTTAGGCTTCATACAGTATTCTGATTCTGCTTTCTATTTGACATACTGTATAATGCAATTTTTTAATAATAACACTTCAAAAATCTGCAATTAATTACCATTAAGATAGGTGAAATGTAGCAAAAAAGTATTTTTTTCCATGAACAATTCATATAAAAATAAATATATTTGGTGGATTTTTTGTGAATTTTCATCTTATTTTCTAGATTATTACATTCTTGCTTTGTTTTTCTCCATTTTAAAATGTACTGTATAACAATTTAACAAGAATCGCAATCAAACAAAAACAGAAAAACAAATTTCGTTACCAAACAATTTAAGAAATTTAATGACTTGGTAATTTACAAAATTCACAATAGCTGAAGTTAAATAACTCATATCTATACAAACAGATATTTCTTTATTTCAAATCTTTTCTTGAATTGGAAGAAGTTATGATCACTGATGGATAACCTCCTGGTCCTGACTTTTTTTCGGCATGTGAAAATATGTTTTAAAGATTTAATTTATTTTGAGGACCACATCTTAGCAATAATAGCAGCTGCTTATTACATAATATATAACAGTAAAAAAGATATTCCAATAATTATATGAAAGTCTAAAAAGAATTGTAAATTTCAGGAAGACACATTGCAGTGCTTGTTGACTCGGGCACTTACAAACCACAGAATCAGAAGAATAATTTGCTGGATGAAGAACCTTTCAAATGAAGGTAAATCTGCTTTTAATATAGACTTTATACTGTAGTTTTGATTTAATTCTCAGGCTTTTTTATTTCCATGTTTTATAGCTGCATTATTATCTAGTCTTATTATATTTTATGTAGTCTTGTTATATTTTAGTCACAGTTGTATGTTGTTTGGATATAAAACCTACATTTATTTGGCGTAATAATTTTTTGTGTTTAATATGTGTAATTTAGCTGACCCAGATTTAGACAACACGTTGTGCGTTTTAAGCTCTTGGGTTCAGAAAATGGTGGACCATGGCAAAAAACAGTTTCTTGCTCTCTGTAAGTATGATGTGAGTCTTAACATACCATGCATTATACTGTATGTTATATCCACAAACAGAAAATCTATATTATTGATCTGAAATACAGTATATATATACAGTGTATAGTTGCAGAATGTGGGACAGGGTTATCGATGGAATATATTTTGATTTTAGAATTTAGAGAATTCTCTACTCTGACTGCTAAAGTTTGTACAATAGTTTCATCGGCCCTGTTCCAATGAGGAAACTGCATTTCCATGTAGGTTAAGATAAGGTTCATTTTTGCATGTCATCTACAAAACCCTTGGACTTTATGAAATTCTACTTCTCTTAGGTTTCACTTCCTGCCAGAGCCATTGGATGTATATGGACCATCAGTCTCTGAGTCATGTTCTTCATCTTCTACAGTTTCTGAAGAACCTTCTAACCATCATCCAATTCATGAGAAAGCTACCACATCTTGTCCAATGTCCTGGTAAAATACTTGCCAATAATCAATATACCTTACCTATATCAGTACAGTATTTTGAAGGTTTTCAATTCTAAATAAAGACTTTGTCCAAATTAATCATTTCCGATGTGTGTCTAAACTCTATTACTGCAAATAAAGAAAAAGCACAGAGATCTAACAGTACATTTTGTCCTTGCTCTAACAGTACTGCAGATAGAATGTTAAAAACTGTTTTCCTCGGTTGTAAATGCAGTACATTGGGATCAGGAATACAGGACAACGAACCAGTACATTTTTCTTGTGAGATTAGTGCACTGGCTGGGCCTTACTGGACTTCTCCCAAAGCCTACTGGTAAATACATTTACTGCTGTTCTTGCCATGTGTATCAGTGCCCTTCGCATGCAGCAAAATAATATCTGTGGAGACACAAGCTGAACGCAGCAGCAAAAAATGGGAGGGAATAGTATACATCTGCCTACAGCAAGGTTTTGGCTTTGTAAATGGCCTAACAAAAATCTTTACTGTAAAACAAAAGCCTCTTCTGAGTCATTGATCAGAGTAACCAAATATGTTTTAAAAACAAGGATACATTGATTACATTGGATTGAGCAAACTTTAGGTGATAAATGAGGAATAAATGAATTTTTTTCATTGCCTCTTTTCAGATACATGTGAAATAAAACGATTTTCCGAGATGTGGCATGAAATGGAACAGAGTTATGAGTCTTTTTGGTAATTAATATATATATATATGATTCATGATTATCTGTCATCTCCCTTTGTTCTCTTCAATTTGCAGAAATTCTGTTTTATAATATTCCTTTAAAAAGTTTATTCCTTTAAAGTTTAAATAAACTAAATTACTTATCAACTAATATACCGATGACTAGAATTTCCACAAGAACCTGTAGTTCCTATAGCATTTTAGTTATTTTAGTTATTAAAAGTTATTTTTTATACTGTTCTTAAAGTCATCATTGGTAAGCTAATTCGTATAAATTTTGTATTTTCTCATACTTTCAGGAACAAAGAAGAAGAAGATGGTTTGTTGATACACGGCATTGTGTCTCATTTAAATAAAATCTATGGCCCAATTTGGAGTAAAGAAGAACAGCATTCTGAACTTTATCCACCACCAAACCTTCTGGTAGGTTACCTTTTAGTTTTCATAGAGATAAATACACAAACAGAAAGCAACTGTGGGTACATATTAAAACACATTCTCAAAATCAGTTCTTAAAATTTACTTAATCTTATCAAAATTATTTTCTATACATACTGTATGTGCATAATATCAACTGTCTTAGCACAATGGGCACAGCTCAGAAAAGAGAATGTAAGTTGTCTGTAAGTTGTCTGTCAAAGTTGTCAGTCAGTTTATGCCACCAGATGGTGACATTCTAAAGAGAGAATCTAAAGTGTCAAGCCATGTGCATGAGGTTTAAAGAAAGATTTCCTTATAAATAGCCAGAGAACACAGCAGAAGATATCTAGTCCCATCATGAGATCAATCCTTATAGTTAAGTTAGTTTCAGCCTTTGCACCAAAGTGCACATCTGATAAGGCTCAGTGCTCACCCATCAGGTTCAGGCTGAAGGAACCCCACTAAGGTTTAGACAAAGGGAATGCGGGTGAAAGACCATATTGGAACAGGGCAGGGATTTTACTGTCCTGCCTCAGACTCAGGTGTAAGATTCTCAATAGTTTGGATTGTTAAGGTGAGTAGGTCCTACTACACCACACTACAGGTTAAGATGGACCTGCCAGAGTAGAAACGTGAACTTTTTCAGAATGTCAGTGTAAGTGCTGAACTTTATTGCCAGACAAAGGAATTTGATTTTAAAAAGTATTTCTATGCATCTTAGTATGCTACACTGTAGTTTTACTGTAGGTTACTTTGCTCAGCTGAATAATTAGCTGGCTTGACATTGCAGCTAATGCTCTGTGCACATGAGATCATATAGTAATTCAAGTATTTCCCTACTATTTTTGTCCACGTTAGAGTAAAGCGATGTATATTCTGATTTGTTGGATCATTTTGTATCATGTAATAAGGAAATGTAACTTGTGATCAGTACACTGCATAAGAGTGGAGTTATGCTTCCAATTATTGATCTGTTAATGCTTCAACCTTAATAGTAACATAAAAATGCAAAAAAGGTCAGTGAAAAGGCTAATCCTTATGCCCTACATTTGGATTTATGTAATGCATGGTTATGTATACCAGTGTAGCCACCATGTTCATGCAAAATCCTTAGAGGTAGAGTAACCACAAAGACAAAAACTGGAACAAAATATAGTAATATTCAATATGTTCTAGTACTAACTGACATGGAGGTCAATCTTTAGAGTTTTGCATCTAAAAAGATAAGAAATATAGGCAAAAAACTATCACATAAAAGGTTAACTTCTTAATTATTGACAGATGAAAAATAATCATTTTAAATACTATATGCAGTATAATACCATATGTTAGATATACTGTACCACTGATTTAAGTAGATTAAAAACCAGAAGTGCATAGACACCTTATTAATGTCACACTTTTTTACAGGCTGTTTTAAAGCTGTTTCTGTTGCCTTGTATTGACACAGTTTCACTCCAGTCCACTGTATCTTTTTGTTCTTGGTTAGTATTACAAAACATAATGTAATATCCAGAGAAAGAAAAGGAAAAGGACAAGGCCTTATTACAACTTCTTTGCTCGATAATAATGTGACAACTCATAATTGCACAATTACTGGGAAAGGTGAATTCAGGATCACATATGGGTTTATTGCCAGGTTACTTACAGAGAGATGTGCTAGTCACTGCAGCCACTAGACAGTCATGAGGAAGAGTGAAGACACACCTTATTATTATAGGGAGGAAGGGGAAAGAGTGAGCCTTAAAGGGAAAGAGCAGAGGTCATTGAGACATTCTACTCAAGGGGGTACAGAACATTACAATAAATAGGGTTTCACAATGTTCTGCAATGATTAAGTATTTGTATTCAATGATACCTTTGCAAGCTGAAGCCTTACTGACAATATAACAAAACACTGAATAAAGCATAAGATAAACTAAATTGCTAATGGGATTCAGAGAAAGTTTCCTGGTCATCCAGGAAATCCAAGTTTTCTACTCATTCTAATGTAGCTTGTGTAATTCATTGAATAATTTTCCTTAACAAACTTTGGTAGTTTCTTTATTTCCTGTTGGATATAACACACTTCCTGAGGTGTGAAGACAATGTCTTGACGTCTTTTACACATACATTTGATGTGCCACTTGGTTTTTGCCAACAAATCAAGGGGCTTTGGTTTCTGGACCATGGGCACATTTCGGTAAGTATTCATTTAATTTCCCAGTAAGATGATGTGTCAGCACAAAAAGCCAGTCTGCTTGTGCACTGCATCTGTTAATCTCCTGCCTTTTTTCCATTCTTCCCCATGTATACTATGTTTCAAGCACATCACTAACATTTTACAGACTTCTTTGGATTTACTGCTGCACCCCAGCACTATGAGGCCTTGGCATTCTTGGCAACATTCATTGATAATCCAGACGTTGTTAAAGGAAGGGGAGTCTCTCAAAGCACTGCACCACATTCATCAGATACAGCCACCAATTGAGAAACCCAAGGACCTTAAGTTGTACATTGATGTCTTCCTTCATAACAGGTACAACAAATATGATAATGATAATGCAGCCTTAGCGGTTTGAAGTGTCTTATTTACAGTATTATGTATATGTTTTCCAAAGCTAGAAAGAACTCTTGAACACACATTAATCTTGTCACCTAAATCTATCTGATAGTGTTGATCAATTACATTTTCATATTCAGTGTTTGAAGATTTTGTTAAATTTTTCTAATTTGTTTTAAAGTGTGAATGCAATGCACAAAGAAAAGAAACACTACTTTTCATACAGTATTATACAGCGTTATACTATACATATACTCAATTATACATGTACTCAATATATAGACTGTTAGACTGTTTTCATCAGCATTAATCAAGTACACATTTTATCTATATTCACTCCCTTTTGCTAAGGTATGTTAAACTTAAAACAGGATTAAACAAAATCCCATATTTTTGTCTCTTTTTGTCATTTGTATGTGGGACTTGATGTAAGGTGTATTGCTGAGGCCTGGGCCCTTCTGAGAGAGATTGAGGACCCTGGTGATGACATTTTCAAGCACTTTCTTCAGAACTGTGAGGACTTAGGCCTGTACTTGGACCTGAGTTCCTTGTTAACATTGGACAAGGTCTAGCTTTCTTTTCTTTCTGAGCATACATTTTGTTTTGAATCAGATTTTTTCATTTGAATAACAACCCTTAATGTGATGTTACATAAGGAGTGGTACCATATACATTAACATACTGTAGTCATTATAAGGTTAAAAAAAACTTTTATTGACATTTCTATTTTGCTTGCACATTTATGTGTTTGTTTTTTCTATATGAACTAAGACATTGTGCTATGTCCCAGCTCCAGTTCTGGAAGGCCTGTAGGATTGCACATTCAACTGAGCTGGTAGTCTCTGGTTCTAATTAGTACCTTTAAATAATCTACTTGTTCGCTTGTTTAAAAAATACCCTCCTTCAGGTGTAGTGTTCCAATTTCAGCATATAGAACCTGTGTGCAGTCTCTCCTCATCATTTTTTATAAGGAGCTGGTAATATTATTTGTGTGTAAAGAGTTATTAATAAGTAATAAATTCTTGATGAACACACTGAGATGAAAATTACAATTTATCAGACACTTCCCCAACGAGTGATCAGAACCCAGCAGTACTCCCCCATCATGCTTATCCAAGTATTATTAATGTAAATAGGGTTAGAATCAATAGATTCTAGAATAGAACAAAGACAAGGCAAACAACAGAGATGGAAGTGGGCATTCTAAAAATAGCACATTTGGAAGACCACTTTTTTGCAGTAAACACCATTGCTAAGAATTTGGTATACACAATTTTAATGAAGCTTTATGTCAGACTAACACTTAAGATGTGACCATGCATAGAGTGTATTTTCACCTGATCTACCTTTTCAGTGTCCTGTATATGAATGGTCATTCTCAAGGAAACAAAGGACATATATTCTTGTAATATATTCAGAAATGCATTAATTTCCAAACTGAAAATTAATCAGATACAGTACCTGATGATATTGGAAAATACAATTTGAACTATTTCTCTTAGATTGATCCGGCTCTGCAAAGAGAAGCTGAACTTGAATCCTTTAGTATAAGACCATGCTGATTTTCAGAGTATCACAGTGCTTGAATTAATTTGATTAAGAGGGTTTTAAAAGAGTGTTAAAGAATTTTAAATCAAATAAAGTGGAGAAAATTACATTAATATTAACCTCCTGAAACCAGACCATAATGACAAAGATTGTTATTTGATTCAGAAGGACATTTCACAAATGTAATTAAAGAAATGTTGCTGTTTTTAAAAGATATCTACTATCTACTTTTAAAAGAGACTTTTTCTCAAGATTGACTTTTTTGTTATATTTCACAGAAATATATGACACAAATTAAAAGAAAGAAAATCAGAACACCTCTTTCATTTGTTCAAGAAGGGTCATCAGTTGACGTCTCTCAGAGAGTGCCGAGCTTAAAAGTAAGAGGTAAGCCAGAGATGAACATTTGCTGTACGTTTTTCTGTTTTGGTTTAATCTTTTGAATGACCTGCTCAAAAAAAATCTTGGGTTTCAGGCAACCCTTACAAAATTTTGTCTGCATTCACATCAATGTAATGGGTCCTGAATGTTAGCCGATACTCTAAAACAATATTGAGGAAGGTATTTTACATACAATATGCAATCTCTATGTTGTAATACAGTATATTTATATAACAAAATAATGTTAAGCTGAACACTTATAAAGAACAACTGCTTAATAAAAGCAAAGGATAATGTTGATCTTATCCCTTTATTGGTGATTGGTTATATTTATTACTGTATATAAAAATAATAAATGACTCAGGGTACATTTTAAACTTAAAACAACACAAATCCCATGCTCATTCTAGTGCTTAAATAAAAATATTTTTATACTTTTCTCTTTTATGGTTTACAGCATTGTATTTCAAGTACAGATCATAAAGCAGCATAAAAACTTTGAATGTTAATGAGCTAATATATTTTACAATAAAAGAATTTAGTTTAGTTACATATACTGTAGATGATGGTCTGACGGAAATCTTTGGAGTTACTCTGAATTTCTAATTGACATTCTGTTTATAGGAACCATTTGTATCTGTAAACTCAGCATCTGTACTTCACACAAACAGTGCGACTAGTTGGGCCAAATGATTTGCATCTTTTCTTATGTTTTTCACATGATTAAATAAAAATTAAAATATAGTAGGTTCACCAAAAAAACAGTGGTGCAGCATCTTTTATAACCTCGTTATTATTCTTACCCAGGACAATCTCCAAAACCGTTTTCTACCTGGCTGTACAGTGCTAGTACATGTGAACCAATGTCTTCAGAGGATTTTTTTATTTTGCTGAAAGAATCCATACGTGAGGTGGAGGAAACAATTTCACCTAACAGGTACAAAGGATATATTTAGGGGATTTTATATAAATAACACTGAAAATATTAGTAGTCCAACAATAACACATTTGAAAGAATGATATCTTATAGTTCCCTGCCATATTCTAGGATATACTGTAATGCTTAGTTTACACGCAAATAATTATGCAGGGGAATGATTTGTAACAAGTACTATTTACCATATGAAGCTCAAGCATCAGAGTCTTGTGATTTGAACAGTGATGTCTTTTCTCCAAGGCAAAACAGAAAAGCTGTCTGGCCGACTTATTTGAAAGAGGAACCACGTGAATCTCAGCTGCAGTTGTCTCTCACCCCTCAAGCACTGAAACACAAAACTCTCAGTCCTTCTCCAACAGTCCTGAGTAGTGCGTTTAATTCAGACTTAAATGAACCGGGTGAGGATGTAACTGTCGAAGAACTGATGTCAGATAAGGTAGAGTAACATATCTAACAGGAACATATATAAAAAGAATAGATTACAGTGTATGTAAGACCTAAAATGAGATTAACATAGTTTCACCCTCCTCACATGTCTTTGAGAAAAGTTATTGGTTTTGATTTTGGTTTGAAGATAAGGGTTCAGTTACTTTAGTTACTTCTAAAACGTCTGGCACAAGTGGAGAATTACATGAGACATAGCTGTTTGGCCTAACTCTATTTTAATTAATTCCTGTGATTTTAGTATTAATGAATAAGTCAATACTTCAGGTTTACTACACTTTTTTTTAAAAAATGTAAGACGCTAAATGTGTGGAACTACCCCCAATGTTGTTGAAGGTGATTCCCTGAGATCCTTCAAGGAACAGCTGGATTGGCTGCTCATATTAATAATCTACAGTACTATCAACTAATGAGCTAGATGGTTCAAACATTATTTAATTTTTTGTAATTTTATTGATTGAATTAGCTGAATGTCTTCTTTTACCCTTTACTTTTTTTATCTTTGAGTACTCACTCATTCCAGTACTTCCCTTTTCCTCTTTCTCCTTGCAGGAGTATCCTGACAACCTGCTTCAAAGAGGCAGCATTAAACCTTCTCTTTCTCAAGAAACCTCCACCTCATCTCCATTGAATAATGGTCAGTTAGACAGTCCAATTTCATCCCAGATCTCAGGATGTTCACTGTTGGATGTATCCTACCTTCTGAATGACAGTGTGTGTGAAGTAGGGTTGGATGGGAACTTGGAGTATGAGTACAAACTCCCTCCTGAGGATTTGGTTCCAGGCCATTGTGATATTCTCTTGTCAAAAGAAAGCAGAACAGCGTCTTTTGCATTAAACAGTGTCAGTAAGGCATCAACTTCTGACTGTGAGTAGGACATCATGATTGTACACATTTTGTTCTTTAATGCTTAAATATTTTCTTCATTAAATACAAATAACGTTACACATAGCCGCAGGTTACCAACAGTTTAGTACTGACTTTTTTATCACAGTGGAAAGAAAAAGGTGCTGAATTTAATATACAGTAGCAAACATTCATCCATGAAGGAGAAGAGAAAGTCAGGTGAATATAATAAAGAAATAACATATTTATTAGTGAATATGTAATTGCATTTCTCAAACACTGATTTAGAATTCACATCCATAGGGAAATTCCACATACCTTGTTTGAACCCTTAATTGAACTATATTTTAAAGGATTTTTCAATTCCTAAACAGAAAGACAGATTTATATATAGTAGATATTACCATGAACATGCACCAAATACTGGATTTTAGAGCTTTCAGAGAATCTATTTTTTTCAGATCAGAACATCTATGTTTAATTCATGAATTTGAAATGCAGCTTTTAATTCAGGTCATATTTGCAGAAAAATGCTTGCCGTCTACTCAGAATGTAAGGAAAATTTATATTGGGTGAATATTGGGTTGAGAGTGAAAACGACATTTAACACAAAATTTGTTTATGCAAATTATATTACATAAAAAGTATTTCTTATTTTAATGGCCGCTTATTGTATCATCTTATAAACGTTTACTGGTTCAAATCTGGACATTTAAACGATGGCTTCATACCAGTTTCCATTCCCACATATTATAATGTGCTTTCTTGGTGTTTCATTCTCATTTCATCTTAAAATAAATGGAATTAATCATACATAACTAAGTGAAATTGTCATGTTTAGAAATTAACAAAAATATGAATTAAACATATTATCAAGCTGTTCTGCAGTAAATAATATAGATCTAACATGACATCAAAGCAAATAAAGTAGCCCCAAGAAAATAAAAAATACAGTGGATGTTGATTTGGATGACAGACTACATGTTCACAAGACAATGATGTGAACAGGTGTAGCATTTAAACAGTGTATCAAAATACATTCAAGTTATTTACTTATTATTTACTTATTCTAAAGTAAAAATTACACCAGAAAGGTCACATTATTACTTTATTTTTATTTATATTTAATATACTTGTTCACTGAAAATAATGACATCTGTTTTAAACAGCAATGCCTTCCACAGTAACATTTGTTTATTATGTTTAAAAATGTACAGGGAGTATCCAGGAATGCACGAGCTGGGCACAGCCCCATGGAATAGCTAGAGATGGTCTGGTAACAGAAGAGGGTGCTACAGGCTTGGCTGAGGACACAATACAACTTAGGGAAAGGTAATATGAGACTTTTGAAAATACAATTTAACAAAAAAGTACAGAACTAGAATCATAAAAAGTTGAATATGTTATATCTTACACGCATACATTAGCTTACATACAGCATATTGTATATGCTAAATAATTGCTAAATCTGAGTTTATGGCATAACTGGAATCACTTTGATTAAATACTCTGTAGGATTACTAAGTTATTAGCTGTACAGAAATATCTGCAGATTTGTGGCAACATTTCTTTAATTATGATATTTAGAGATCAATTAAGCTTTTTTACACTGTCATTACTGATCAAATTATTTTATGCATGGTATGAATTTAGTCTGAATATTATAATTCTGTTGCCTTAAATTTCTATCTGTATTTAGTTCTTTCATCTGTTTTGGCATTATTAACTGCACCGTTATTCTTGTAGTAACTATTACAACTATTTTTGTCAGACGTGGCAGCAGAATGAACTTGCATCCTCAGACCTACAGCAGTGATGACGATCAGTCTGCTTTCTCTGCCAGTGACAGCCCAGCAGAAAATGAAAACTTCCTGTCACTAGACAAAGGTATTCAGCACGGTTTAATGGTGGTTTTATTTTACTTATTTTACCATTTTTTGCTGTTCCAAACTGCCAAGAGAGATAAATATATTCAAATGTACTTGTGAGCTTTAGCTTCACATACTGTAAATATACAGTATGCATACCTGTATATTGCAGAACTGCAGAAGCTTGCAGAACTGACATTCCCTGCAGGCAGGCTTTGCTACCTGAGTCCTTATGTAGTTTCAAATGATATAGATTAAACATTTTTGAGAATGTTTTAAGAATTTTTAACTTTAAAATGCTGACTAACAGTTAATAAAACCATATAGAATGGTCTTAACTTTGTTTTACAGAAACTGTATATTTTTATCTATACATCTTTTGGTGAAAATATCAACTGTTCTCAGGCTGTGTAATTGAATGATTTAGAGAATGGGCACCAGGTGAAAGAAAAGCATGATTTTTTACAAGTGGCAGATAAAGAATACCAATGCATTTTGCCCTTCTTATTGTTTCTGTTTGTTCCCTTAATCAAAAGTGATTTATGTCGATGGCTCTTCTGCAGCTGGGAAAGAAACAGAGGAGTTGGGGAATGGCACTCCAGTTGAGGACAAAACAAAAGAACTTTCTTTTTCCCAAGATTCATTTTCAAGCAGTAGTTTTGCCTCCCACTCTTTCCTTGATTTGGAGCCTCTACAGGTAATCCACTGGTCCCTGGGAACAAAGCTTGTCTTTTGAGCTGGAGTTTTGGAAATAGTGATAAGTTTCTCCATTGCTCTATGAAATAAAGCAGGGGTGTATTTATAGAGGACTGCACTCCAGCAGGTCAATAACTTGCTTTCAAACTCTTGCAACAAAAGATCTATAGAAAGGTAATAAACTGGACCAATTAAGATAATAATTGCATCAGTTAGGTAGTTAAGTGCTTGTGTAGGCTAAACATCCACAGAAACCCTCCAGGTGTGGAGCTGTGTACATATAACTTAATGTTGGCTTTTCTTAATGGATTGTTTATTTTTCTTCTCCATCAATTTTGACCTTTGTCAAAAAAAGCTGAAAAGCTGCACTGTTTAGTTGTTTCATTAAACTATAGAACACCACACACATTCAGTGTATTTAATGGAGTAAAACAGAAAAGTAGATAACCTATTGCCCATTACCATGTATTTGTGTTTAAGGCACTAAATAAGATGTAAATTTGTGTTACACAGAGAGCTACAGATGGACTGGCTCAGAAGGAAAAGATGGAACGGCACAGAAGAGATTCCCAGGAAGCAGTTGACCAGCCAGAGATCCTCACTTCCTGTGAATTTACTGAGACTATGCAGAGCTTCTTCAGTGACTATTATGAAAACAGTTACCTCGATGATAGTGAAGATGAAAGCCAAAGTGCCCCCAGTTCACCAGAAAGAAAAGTTTCAATAGGCAGGGAACACTTTCGAAAGACCTCCCTCTTGGTCACTGAGTCTGAAATTAAAGCTTCGGAGAGGTTTAAAAAGATCTTTTCACTGCAGGATACTCCGCTTTTTATTCCACCCCCTAGAACAGTGAGACAGACACACCCACAGGGCTCTAGGGCTTTTCTGTCTTTCAGGGGAAGCCGTGACCCTGCACTTCCGCACCTTCTGTCAGAAACACCCACTGACAAATGTCAGAGTGGAAGGCCTCACAAGAAAGAGGCAATATGTTTCAAAACTACATCTGACCGACTAGGTCACTGCAAGCTGGGCAGCTGGTGGAAGCAAGCTTTAGAAACCAGAAGAGCATCATCAGGGCTCCTGCCTGCAATCGATCAATTTTCTAGCACATCACCAGGTAATGCTTGTTTTTTTCTCAGCTTTATACTGATACTTCTCCATTCACATGAAAAAAGGTCCTACTGTATTCACTTTGGGAATTTGGCTGCTTGAGTTACTAGTTTAGTAACTAGAGTTACGAAAGTTCTGCAAGCTTTTGAAATAGCCTTTAAAGGAATGCAAATCTAGATTCTGCAGGTCTCCCTGTTGAATTTCAGAGTTGTGACAGATAGAAAGTCCTCTCAGTTTTCTTTTCAATTTCAACAACTTGTGACTTATTTGAATCACTCAATGAGTCGATTGGCCTTAATCGCCATTTGTTTCCTGGTCGTCCTGGTCTTCAGTATTCAGAATTCAGTTCTCTTTAAAACTTGCAGGGCTGTTACGTTCCAAGTCCGGGAATGTTTTAGAAGCTCCCTGAAGTCCAATGGCATCTTCTGCATTAAAGTAAATCCAGTAGTAAAGGCAATTGGAAAACACATTCCTTTCAACTCTGGGATGGAGTGGCATCCTGTCCAGGCTCCAACACAACCCTGTATTTAATAAAAGCAGTTAGAAAATGAATGGATGGATTGCTTTCAGTTAGCACTTACATTATGTAGTCAATGAGCTAAATGCACTGTAACTTATGAGAAATGTTACTTTCAAATTTAGTGCCTGTGCAATTTTTTAAGTTAGCGATTCAATTATGTGCAACATAAACCAAGTTATTTTCTCCTCTTTTTGGAACCCTTATATAACTATTAATTATTTTAAATGGCAATATCAGGAATCTTGTTCTAAATGATTACATCAGTAATTCCTTGTTACAAGACTGTCCACATTTGAGATCTTGGTTAAAATATCAGAGTTTTTATCATAGTTATTTGTAAAAATATTTCTTTCTAATTAAGAAACCTGTATTTTGCATCTTGGAATAGATTTAAACTGAAAATATCTCCTCATTCCAGTCCAACTGTATCTATATAATGAATGATTCCAGGAAAGGATTGATGTGATTATATTTGCCAAAATGCACCTTTGTAATTGTGAATAACTTAGCAGGTGATTATTTTAAAATGAATTGAAGCTCATGCCCCAGGTGTGCATTAATGCTCAAAACCCAATGGTTTAAAGCTTAGGTAATCATATGTGCCATGCTTTATGAATAATAAAAAGGGACTTAAGAGGAAAAATGAAGCTTTGTGGATTTAGATTAATGAAGTATGATTGAGTGGCTTAAATATTTTTTTTTGTTCTTAGAGTTTCATTATTTCATTTATTTCATAATACATACTGCATACTACACCCAGTGTATATACCAATGACTATACCGTTTTTAACAGAAATGCAGGAAGAACAAAAAGGTTCTAAAGGTTACCTTTTCTGGAGCCACTATTTCTAAAGTAGGAGAAATCAACATGCATTAGAGCAAACAGGAATATTGTTACAACGCAGTAAACATGATAACATCTGCTTCACCAAAGTGATCAAAATGTCATGACTTCAGACTTCTAAATCAAGCCTCGTGATATCCTGTATTATTTTCCCTATAAAAGTCTAAGCTTGTTTTTTTAACTGCCTTAGTCTTAAAGAAATGGTGAAAGAAGCCTTAGGGAGGGAAGAGGTGTAGTTGTCAGTACACGTTCTTTCATTTTATACATCACTCAGCAACACTGTAAGATGACCCAAATCAGGGTAAGCATGGCAGTGGTGTCAGCCAGCTGTCTATTCAGCTCACGTACTGTACTAGGTGATGGTTCGAGGAGTTGTTAGTAATCGCTGGGAATTTACCCATTAATGTCTTCAAAGAAAACTGATAGCATTTCTAATAGCACACTTATATAAAAGAGAAAAAAATTAATATCAGTAAGTATATATTTCTCCACCCATGATTGTGTTGCTGCCCAGGAATATTAACTTGGTTTCTTTGTAATAATCCTCTCTGTGGGGAAGATTCATTGTAACTTCCATTTCCATGTATATTGATGAAGTGTCTTATTAAGGAAGGACATATTAATATGGATGAGGAGGCATTCTAGATAGTAGAAATGCTAATCATTCTGGGGATGGGAAGCAATAGTTTCAGGTCTTGTCTCAAATTGGATAGGTTAAGTTTGCATGACTGTCCACTTGAACACATGGTTGTTTATTGTCTGCTCTGCATTGTCTCAAGTCCTGAAGAGGCTTATCAGAATGCAGAATGGCTGCTGAGAATAAACTTGGGCATATGCACTCTGAAGGGCACAGAGAAAGACACTTAGAAGGTCCTGTTAAGCAGCTCACAGGAAACAGTAATGGAACTGCAGATGGAATGTGTATCTTTTAAAAAATGATCATCACAATACAGTCTGCTAATGCAATAAATATAATTCAATTTGTCTGCAAAATCTTAATTAGAATACTGTCATAGAACAGAAAGATACCTCATTATTATGACTGGAAAAGAGAATGAAAATAAGTTCGAACACAACATATTATTGCCAGCATTTTTAAATCCTTACATCAGAATTTCTTTGGAGTATTTTTCCCAGTGTGCAGGTAGGCTGCATTTGTCAATGACATGGTATGTGACTTGATTGAAAATGTCAGGCTCTACAAAGCAGCTGTTGAAGCTGGCATCTAGCATATGGCACACATGTTTTCTTCTGTGCAGACAGTGTAGTAGGTCCCTTTCACTTTCTACCAGCTGTTATGAGTAGTTCGTAAGCTCCCTATCTGATAACTCATAAACATTAATCAGTCACTCAGATGATGGCACAGGACCTATTGTTTCTGTGTTACCTAACATTCAGGGTGGCATGCAGTGAGGTCAGCAATGGAACTATCCCTAATGAAAATCTGGATTCTGCTTGATGGATGCTTGCCTGTTGCTGTCATCTCAGGAAGGCAGCTGTGCACAAATGTGACTCAGGTGCAGAGAAGAGGCAACGGTCCTTCCTCAAGGCTGTAGGTGCCCAGCTGTTATGATCCTGAGTCCCATCTGCTGAAGGAAAAATGAAAGGGGGGGGGGGGGATTTATCATGATCTGTCATGCTGCTTATTGACTAATGAAAGGACCCCTGTCTTTCTGAAATGGGTGCATGCCACTGGTACAGTCCTTGCCAGATGGGTATCTGTTTAGCCATGCAAATTGTCACTGCTTTCTTCCCTGAATTTGACTGTGGAACTGGGAAAGCTAGTCCCTGAGCAGAGTGATGTGTATTTTCTTTTACAGAATTCTTAAATTTTCATTTACCTCCTGCAGGTTTTATGTTATCATGGTTGCCACTCTAGTACCAATTTTGTACTTTTTTGTAAAATTAATTTCTGAAATGAATTATTTTATTAGATGTATATGTAGCAGAGCTAGTTCGGACACGGTGATGTCATTGTCCTCCGTGCGTGTAGCAGGGACCTCAGCTGCCTGGGCTGAAGGAGGTCTCCTTTAGCTCATGCGGCTGGTTTCCTGTTGCGTTCCCGATTTTGTGCCCCAGGTGTTGCGGGATGGAACAGCGGAGGGCACGAGCCCATGTGGAACCATGATGGTCACATATACGCCTTTAATCATTTTTATTCCTTATATATATATATTTATTCCATATATATTCCTTTTATGCTTTATGCTTAATATAGAAAGCCATCTAGACATGCTTCTAAACAGCTAAGTTGAATAATCTTGCTGAAAAAAGAGTCTTGCATTATTGCTTTCTGTTCCTTATCCAAATGAATTGGATTTGCATAAATATATTATAAAGCAAAACCTTTTGCTGCATTTAATTGTAGAACGTTTGTCTTTCAGAATCTTTTATTTTATTCAGAATCTTTTATTCTACAGCATCACATTTAACACTATATCTAAAACTTGAGGCATGAAATACAACAGGTTGGTTTTTTGTCTAGAATGAATTTTAAAAATCCTGAGCAATCTGAAAAGCTAGTTTTTCTAGGTCCACACACACGTGTTTTTCCCCTTAAGATTTGACAAAGATCTTGAAGAAAGAGCAGGTACAGAACCTACAGTGCACTGCAGTTACATTGCATCATGTTATGGGAGCCATTCATGACTCCCATGAAGTGCGTAGTTTAGGACCCTATGCAGACGGTATAATCAGGAAGAGACTGGAAAAGGGCTACAGGGAAAACACGGTCAGGAATAGAAGGGATGCCGAACATGGGGCGTTGCTGACAGTGATCCAGGTGTATGGGGGGAGCACAGGCAGACGAGTCAGAACGAGGGAAGTCCAAGCGGGAAACCAAGGCGCAATCCAGGGTCCAAGTGCTGGGAGGTTCATCCAAGACAAATGATTAAACCGGGAATAGGATCAGGAACAGGAACAAGGAAGTTGAAAACTAGGCCAGGAGCTCCGAGCCCTGGACTCAGCTGATCAGGACACCGTTTGGAAGCCTATGCCCTCAAGTTGCGGTTTGCGGGGTGACTTGGTGCAAGGTGGGCCTCCGGGCCTCCAGGCCTCAGGGCCTCCGAGTATCCGTCTTCCAATGCAGAGCCTTGAGCTTCGGGGGCACAAGGTTTAAATAATACAGGGAACAAGGGGCAGGTGAATGTAATAATGAAAATAAAATACAAAAGGGTCGGAGCACCCTCTTGAGGAGGGATGATGTTCGTGACACATCAATGTGCTGTTTGACCTGAGAAAGTGAAAGTGCTAAATACACAAGACAAAGGTTAATGCCAGTTAATTCAATCTATTTTAATCATTTGCCTTTCAAAAAGGTCTTGGAGTGTGAAGATTGTATTCTTTAGACGCTGAATGTAAATATATTCTGAATATACTGTGTTATGGTGTTGACTTCAGGTGTAAAGATCTGGACTCACAGAGTTGGTCTTTTTGGAGGTGATAAGCTGTGGTTTAATCCTCTTCTAAGTCTGTATTCCCCTATTTAATATCACAGTGATCTGTGCTCACCCGATCACTGCTATTTCTATGACCTGGCTGTGAAGTGGCTGAGCTACAACATTTATTGATAAGTGAAGAAAAGATTACCACTTATCACAAAACAGGAATCAGAAAATGTCAGTAGAATTTGATTCTATGTTCTAGATTAAACAAATTAAAATCAGTTTACTATAAGTGTCTTCAAAATTAACTCTAGTGTACGAATCACACACTACTGTTGCTGTTGCTTTGAGACTATTTTTCTTTAGCCTGAGTTTATTTCTTTTATATGAGAAAAATAATGGCCACAAATCATACTGGCAAAGATCAGTGATTGTCCATAAGTAGCAAAACATTTAGTGGATTTTTAACATGTTAAATATTTATGTTTTTTTTTTATTTCACTTAGATAAAAATGCTTCATTTCTCTCTGGCAAACCTCTGTCATGCAGTCAGGGGAGCTTCTTCCATCCAATACCAAACCAGAAAGCTGAAAAATGGGAAGCAAAACAGGTAAATGCATTTCTTAGATGTATTCTAGGAATGTCTGTCTGGAAAACGTTTCCTTAACATCATCATTTTTTTAACATGTCCTCTTATTTTCAAGTGAAAATTTTCAGAATTAACTGAAACTTTTATTATGCATTTAGCATGAAAAGACATCTGAAGTTCTACTATGTGTATTGGTTTACTGCTCTTTTGTCTGAGAAAAACTGTATTGTGGTGGCAATCTAGGTATGTAACATTAAACAGACATCTCAAGAGTGAATTTGCCAGCTTTAATCTCGAAATCGAAATTACTTATCACATGTAATCTTCACATATAATTTCAGTTGGATCTTCAAATAACATTAAAAATACAATAACACAGCTTCTATGTGAACTCTTGCATAAAGTGCACTGTGATCCCATTCCATATGCATAGCACTACCCTTGTATGGAATTCATTAACATGCAGGACAACTATTATTAAAGTGTGTTCATTGTGAAAAGCAGCAGGAGGCTTCATAGCTGCCTTAGGAAATGCAAACAGTAATTAATCAAATAGCATTGGAAGTAATTTTGAACATGGCATATTTGCTAATAAATACCAGAGTCCCTAGCCATGTGTTATTGAAAATTAAGGCTGGGAGGTTGAGATGTGATTTATTTCTACTCTTTACACTTATGACACCAATATAAAGTTCCATGTGCAATGTATAATAATATGGATATGTGTATGTCAGAAACACAGAATGATTTGTATAAGAACGGGCAAAGATTGGGATGATTGTTGTTTTGGTTTGAATTAGAAAGATTCAAGCTGTCAATAACTAAAAATCTAGCTATATTTTAATACAATGTTCAAGTGTTTAGTGAAAACCTAATGTTGCATGAGGTGCAATTCAGGTACTACATTGCCTATTATTTAACATTAACTGCATGTAATTTGTATGAGACTGATCTGTAATGATACAGGAACAGAAAATCTGATCTGCAAATGGCATTTTAGCTCTCTTTAGCTCTCCAAAAACTAAAAGAAAACGTGCAGAGCTATATTTTCCTTATTTTATTTTCAATACTATAAACATCAGAAGATGAAAGAATGGTTGGTAAATAAAATTACCTAAATCCCAAAGAACCTTAGCACCTCATTTTGTGACAAGAGGCAATTCTGAGGCAATAGTCATGATTCTCATCCTTTTGAAATTAATAGAATTTGGTCTGTGAGTTAACGTATTTGATAAAAGCATCAAATAAGCAGAAGGATATCAGGGAAAAAAACATGAATGGTTATTTAATAGAACGAGACATGGAAAAGGGGGCTTTATTTAACTTTATATGATTGCCAGCAGGTGACAGTGTTGCCCAAGGCTCTGTTTTGGAGTGACTTCATGTTTCCACTCCATAGCTACTCCACCCAAAACATCTTAATGCTGCAGGATTTTTTTTTCTTCTCACAATCTAGGCACTTGCAGCATTTGTTCAGTTTCATCCAGTGAATTAATACAAACTCATATTAACATTGGGGTTGGCACATAGATCATGATAAACCTTACCTTAAACTATGTTTTAATATTGTTTTGAATTTTAAAATAACTCTTTATTTTCGTAACAATTAATTGAAAAACAATCAAATATTAAATGTTCCAAAATAGCTTTACAGAGCTCATACAACTTAATGAGGTATTATGGAGGCTACCATTATGATTTTAAGAATTGTAATATGCCTTGCATATGGATAATTAGTTTATTGCTCTAATTAGTGAGTGAGAGTCATGGAGACTGTCAGCGAAATTATACACATCAAATACAATTAAGGTAATGTCCAAATGATAATGATGATGATGATGAAATTATATTAATATATTTTGTGATACATTGTGTGTAAATTTTAGAGGAAGTCAGATCACTATATTGAATTGATCTTTTTTAAAGTGATGTTGTGCAGAATTGCAATAATATACTGTAAATATGGCACTTCTCTAAAATATATGATGTGTACACTAAACACGGTTACCATAAGAATATGGTCTTGGGTAAAAAGCATATTTACTTCAGGTACCGGGTATGCACAATATATATTATTTATTGTATAAAATAGCTGACACTAGCACAGAATTTACTTTTGAAAAAGAAAAGGATATTTTTTTAATATTGGAGGGTAGCAAAATTCATTAAATGTGATGTATGACCATAAATTGTTTTGTTGGTCTCTTTGAAAGCTTTGTCATCAATCTAACAGATAGCTTTACCTGTCGCTGGCTGTAATTCGAGGATGCCACAGGACGTTGATGGATAATATGTTGATCATTAGATTCTTAGAGATGAAAAAAAAAACATTAAATTGTCCCATGATTTACTTTGCTTTAAAAATGGGCACTTAAATTATAATCCCCTGTGTTATCTTCACCCAGTAAAGCATGCCAGTCATTTAAAAACATGCTCTATTCTCATTTCCATTAAGTGCAGCATACAATTTTGCATTTCTCTTTATGTGTCTCAGATTTTGGTTTTAATGGATCTCTCCATCTCACATCTAATCTTTGTAAAGGTGAATCTTTGAGTCATCATCAGGCTGATAATTGACTGTCTTAAATTTTATTTCATAACAATGAAAATACTAATATGGTATGCTTAGATTATATTAACTTTTTAAACTTATTTTACATCTACTGTAACTGATTTACAATAACCATTATTCACATTTTTCAAAAATTAATATGGAAACAACAAAATAACACAGATTCATTACTAACTTACCTGTTGTGCTCTGTAGAATCTCAAGAAATATTTTTAATGAGGTTTCCCAAAACAATTGGCAAGGAGCCAAAGAACTTTTTATTTTGTGCTACTGTACATTGGTAATGTGTTACTCTTGTGATTTATCCCTGATTAAAATTTGTTTTAAAATTCAAACACTCCTTCTGTTGGCTATTAAATCTGTTAACATCTGGCTGGCCATTAAAAACTTTTGGACTATATATTGTTGAATAACGTACTCCAGGCATTCATGGTGTTAATCTGAATCATGGAGTTACGTATTTTTGGCAAATAATAGTCCATTGGTACATTACCAGTGCAATGTTTCTGTCAAGTTACCAAGTTAGCTATGTTTTCTTTAAAGAATATTTTATTGGCAGTTAATTGACAGTATTTTAGTGTCTATTTTTTTAGTATTTTGTTTTTTGTTTTGTTTTTTAATTCTCAAAGAACTTTGATGCATCTGTGAAAAACCGTGGAAAATAAATGCTGCATTGTGTGTACAATGTATGAAAAATGAATAATTCAACCTTGTTTTTCTTTCATTGTCCAAAATGGGATTAAAAAACAAAATAAACGCTGCAGAAAATAGACAGTATGTGAGGGAACAGGGAACAAGATGTAATTCAGTGCAAATCGGAATCCCTGAAAAATTAACCCTTTGAGGCTAATTATTCATGACCAAACCTGTGTAATTTTTTTCCTTACAAGAAGCGAAGCAGAAACAATGGGGAAGAAAATCTTTCTTCTTAAGGTGGACATGGGGCATAATAATTTCTTTTTGAACACCGAAAAGGAAAAGATGTAATTAAAATATCAATGAAAGCTAAGCTAGAGAAATCGTTTATTGGACCAAGGTGGATAAAGATAGTTTGAAGTGGCACACCATGCCATTGACAGAAGAAATTAATGGCAACTATTAAAGGCATTTAATCACTGACACTTCCCAAGATGCCTTTTTCTCAAACCCCAGAAGCAAGATTAATTGCCCCGGATATTTCAAGTCCCCAGATAATACATAAAAAATGAACTGTGTGTCTGATTGTTTTTGTCTTTTTCAGGTGGGAAAAGAAGATGTAATTCTTAAGAAAAACTCTTGTAAATTCACCATGTACAAGTCTGAGAAGAGTGTGGGAGGCCGCCATGTTATGCAAACTAGGAGGACTAAGAGAAGCAAGAAATTCAAAAGAGCATGAAGGTGCTTGTGTTTCTAATAGCTCCACAACTATAATTAAAGATCAGACAAAAAGTCCTGTTATTTCAGAGATAATGAAAGGAAGTTTTAAAACAGAAAAAATTGAGTATTCTTTTTCAAATGTATTTTCTAAAACCCCAAATTTAAGCAAAACGTCTATAAAGAATATTATTATTAATTTTAAAAACACAGCATGTGCACAAAAGTGGTTTAACTTATATACCAGTCTTTTCATTTCAAACTAGCATAAATAAAAATTAAGAATGTTGAAAGCCTGGAAAACAACCTTTGGCTAAAGAAATTGGTTTTAAAGATGTGCCTTTTTGGAAAATTAAGTTACTGTTTTGATCCTGTGCTTCAGAACAAATACATAATCCTTTCCAGATATGTTCTAGTGTTATGTACTGCTCCATTGTAGATATAACTTTTTAAATCTAGATCTAGAAACACATTAAAAGTTATTGTATTGCTTTAGTGCATTTAAAAAGGCACATTCTCTTTATAGTCATTAAAGTTTGAGACAATGCTTAATTGTGATATTAATGTGAGGAAGGTGGCACATTGTTGTTACTTCTAACAAACCTTAATATTGTCTAACATGAAAAAAAAATTACCTCCTTACAGTAATGAAAAAATAACACCCGGTCAGAATAACTCATTTGTACAGGAGCCATTTTCAAAAAATATTATTGAAACTTTGCTGTTTAGTAACAAATTGATTTTATTGAGCTAATCATCAGGGTTAAAGTGCAATAAAGAAAGCTTCCATTGTGTCAATTGGGTAGTTCTTTGTGCATGTGAAAATATTATTTTAAAGAAACACTCTGCATTTCATCATTATTTGCAGATTGAGTAGGAATTTTAAAATATACTCAAGAACTGATTTGTGTCTTCTTTTCTCTTGGGCTTTGTGTGACCAGTGTACCTCTGCAGGGTTTCGAACACGTTGACTCCTAGGCACCCACCTTGTGAGTGGAGAAAACTGCTTCACGAAAAGGCTGGGCCTTCTAACATGGTTAAATTCATTGCTACAGTATATAGATTCTGATGGAGTGATATAACCTTTTGATTTTGGAGTTTGTTTAAATTGTTTAAAACAAGAGCCTGAAACATTTTTCTCTCTTTTTTGGTTTGTTCTGAAGCACTCTTGAAGGTGCTAGGGCAGGCAGAATCCAACCCCTGTCACTGGTTCTGTGTGCAGCTCCCTAGTAAAACAGAAACACATTCCATTAATGACATGAATCCCTTGTGGATGTCCGTGTTACTCTAACCCCCCTTCTACAGTCACAGTGCATTCCTGCTCTGTACTCACGGCTGAAAAGCCAGGAGGCCACTGTTTCACTTCTTACACCAATGTGAGGCTTTTAGTGGATCTGATGTGAGAAGTGAGGATTTAGACAACAGAAAGCCAGTCTCCCCTACACTAACAATGCAGCGGCACTCTAGGTTATCAGAGAAAGATAAGAAAGAGCTACAGCTGTACTGTGTAGATCTGGAGTACCCACAATGAAATCCTCTTGTTTGTATCCTTCCTTCTTCTAATGAAATAAATTTATCAGTTCTCAAACAATAATTACAAGTGTTTTCTTATCACCTTTTCTTATTGCTTATGGAACTAACTGTCCATTCAACAAAAAAAAAGGGTTTTTAAAATCAATTCTTAAAAGCAAAAAAGGACTAGAATCAAGAGATCACCCAAAATACATTTTTGATAACCACCTTCACGTCTGCAGTGCACAATGTCTTATTAAATCAGTTTCACACAGTATTATTTCTCTTAGTTCATAATTGCCATTAATATTCATACAGATAAAAACATGATGAACAACAGAAGACATACATAACAAATAAACAGAGAGGGATTAAAACAAAAGGAATTAATTTCCATACTAAACTAAAATATGATGCAGAATTTGCTAGTGTGTGTGGTGAGGCTCTTGGACTTGAAAGTCATGATGAACAGTCCTTTCGGCAGCTCTTCTTAAGATAGGATGAGTTAATACAATCTGACAGGCTTTCTCCTAGCACCTTCCTCCATTTAAACTGCACACCAGCAGAGTGTAAGATTGGACTATGAACGTGCTTTGTATACATTCCCCTTGACTTTAGTGTACAGTTTTCAGTGTGCATTGAAAGCCTCTCATTTATAATTAACCACCTCAAGTAATTATTAATAAGTGCTAAATAATTAAATGCTGCAAGTTATATCATTTGCCTTGGTTGGCAGTCCTTTGCCAGGCAAATAATTAAAAAATACTATTATGTTACAGCCCACCTTTTATCATTAATATTATGAGTGAGTATCCAGCTCTGGAGTTTTATTTTTGCTGTTATTAGAATTTTCGATTTGGTTAGTTCTAACCTGGCCTATAAAATATGAAGCCTCACCAAGGCTAGACAATACTGATCATCTTCTCTTTTCTTAACATTTACTTGGTTCCTAGGGAACACATTAGATTTTCTTTTTGTGTATTAGGTTGAATAACTTACAGTAACACACATTTGCCTTACACACATCTTACAAATCTGACCTTCTGAATCACAAGCCTTAAATAAAAATACTTTTAAAGGGTAGGATGCTTGCCAAATCAATGCAGCTAATCTATATATACACGTTAGTGTAATGGATTGCCTATGACTGGTGATCGTATAGGAATCATTTTGTTTTGTCTGAGAACATGAGTTCTGTAGAACACATTTGGTCTGTTTTTCTACAGTAATTATTGATTGTGGAAGTATGATGATAATGAATTTAACATCTTTTGCATCTTACATTCCAAGCAAAAGTTTAGAATAGGAGAGACCTGTAAGTCATCTGTTTCCTACTTATGGATGATATACTAATTCACAACACAAGATGGACAGCCTCTACAGATATATGTTTTCCACTATGAAGTAACTATTTTCAAAAGGAATATGCATCCACCATGGATCACTAAAATAGCATGTATTACAATTAATTAATGGCAGTCAGCAAGATATGTGCCAATAATAAACTAGTGTTATTTGCCTTACAGGTTTATCTTCTGAAGAGTTACAGTACCTGTACTAAATATTCTCTTCACGAATCTTACATTTATACTAACATTATGTTCACTGTTCATCATAGTGGTGCTTTGGATTCTTCGAATATATGTCTGATCCACATTTATTGTGGATCCTGAGCTTTTTGTAAAAGCATAGTATTTACAAGGATTATAAGACCTGATGAATTGAACCATCTCTAATGATGTGAACAGATTAGACTAATTACAAAACACTTGTTGATTACATTTTTCTAACCTTGAATCTGAAAACAGTTTCCAGATAAAAGTTTTTATATTTGTCTATTTTCTTTCTCTTTCTTTCTTCCTAGTTTAATGAGATCTCTTTCCTACTGTGTCATGTTTAACTGATGATATAATAGGTTGTCTGAACAAGAGTTCAAATTAATGGTTTGATAGACACATTTGCCTTACTTTGTTCCCTAATTTCCTTTATATTTGAATCTTTTGAGGTCTGCTTTCTGTGACACTTATTGGTACTATGCAGAAATGGTTTAGCAACTTACCCATTCAAACATTTACTATGTAACTTAATAAGCAAACATCATTACGTCTCAGCAGTTAGATTCTTTTTGGGGGATGTTGTGTTTCATACATTGAAATAAACTTCCATTCATTTTTCCATTTTCTAACAGCTTCTTTCAATTCAGGGTTGTAGGGGAGCCACAGGGTTGTGGACAAGCAACAGGCACAAGGCAGGATACACCTGGATGAAACGGTAGATCATCACATAGACACGCACACTCACACTAGGGGACAATGTTCCCAGAAGCTAATTAACCTACTGTAACGAACAGTTCTTTCCGGACCCTATGCAGACGACACAGTCAGCGCCTGGCTTTTAAGGTGGGCTGGGGATAGGGAGCAGGTGCACAGAATAAAGTCACAAGTGAAAGGGCTGGAGCACCCTTAAGGAGGGGGGACTATAATCGTGACACCTACCAGTAGGTGTTTTTGGACTGTGAGAGGAAACCCATACCAACATGGGGAGGACATACAGTACAAGCTCCACACAGATACTACCCCAGGTTCAGAACTGGACCCATGACCCCTGTACTGCGAGGCAGCCACTGTAATATTCTAAATAAAAAAAAAAACTGAACAACATTTTGGTTTATACAGTGAACTAAAAGTAATTTAAATCTTCCAAATCCTAAATGGAAAAATTTTGAATTTGTTTCCATTAATGGTAATGCTTATTACCAGGAAAATGTTTATTCCATGCTGAAAATAAAATAAAAGAGTCACAATGTTTTGGAGCCTTCTTCAGGTGTGAGGGTCCACAGCCAAAACGTTGTTCCTCTTTTCTTTTACTTTCAACATGGAATAAGCCTTTACCTGCTCCTTTGCAGTCTACACATGCTGATGCAGCTACCTGCTTGTTATCCTATTAATAGTGATTATATCCATAGCTGTGAACGGGTAATACCACCTTTCTTGTAGTTAGCTGTTGTAAAAAAAATTTTTCCAGACATATCTTGTCCACAAGATTTTCAACAAGCAACGCTTAATGAATCAGAAACACATGAACTCTTCCCCCTCCTGTTTCTACCACGAAGAATGCTAGCTAAGCAATTGTGCTACTGGGACTTGGAAATGTTGATTACTTTTCAAAGCACATTCAAAAATCCCTGTTTATTGCCTGTAATGCAGTCTACAGCTACTATGGTTGGCAAACATTTTAAACATTCATGCGATTTTCTTTTTAAGACTGAAAGAAGTTGTTCCAAAATTATGAACTCGGCCAGGTAAATCTTGTGTCTATGACAGTATTATGTTGAATATAGTAATAAAATGCATTGCGTAGAATTTTGTGGAGCCCTAAATAATGCTCTGTATGTCTAGCATCTCTCCATGCCATTCTGTTATTCTTTGCAGCAAAATACTTAATTTAATGTTTCAATGTTTATCAATTTTTAAATAACTTGCTTATAACCCTAAATAACAAATGCATTCTCAAAACATAATAGGAAACACTATACCATATATACTGTACATGCTATACACATGATTTTCTTCTGGTCTTTAAAAGTATTTTTCATCAACACTTTAAACATATCTTGAGTACAACAGCGTATGCTATTTTTGTGTTTTAGAAATATATTTTTATTTGAAACAAAAAGGGTTGATAGAAGAAGGACTTTAATCATTTATACTGATAGAAATCACAAGAAATCATTGCAGACACACCAAATTAGGCATAAATCACCACCACCACCCCCCTAAAAAAGATACTAAGCTTAACAAAATGTGAAGTTTACAAATGATGCTCCATACTTGGTAACCTATACATATAAATACCTGTCTAGGTGCTGGAGGAAAGACATTTGTAGTACTGCTTGACTATTAATATTTGGCAATGCAAACAGCAGAAGCAAACCCTTTTCTTTTTTCACTGTCATTATGCCTCCCCCTATGTGTAGTATTTATTTCTTCCTACCTAGACAGTCAAATTCAGTTTGATATACAGTATATGTATATAACAACAGAAAAAAAAATGTGTAATAGTTTTAATAAAATAACCTGTCATATTTTCCAGAGGATAGTATGATATTAGTTGATTTCATCTTTAGTTTTCTAATGTTTCTTTCACTTATTGAGACTGTTGTCATTGTATTTTAGGGTTTTATGTTTTCTCATGCGTAATAATCATGTGTATTATGTTTTGTTGTTCACAGTTTTCTGCTGAAATTTTGACATGCATAATTCCTATTACCTGAATATAGTAT